TATTTAACAAGAATAATTCATSAACTAGTTATTTGAAGCAAAAGGGCTTAAAGTTTAGCAATAAAATCTAGACCTGGGTTCACTTGTAACAATTTCCTTAGCATCAAATATTTTACATTTTAACAATCTCCTGTCATATCTACTCACCAGTGCAGACGTAGGGTGTGCAAAAACGCGGACATTCCCTCAATAATGACGAGGATAGCGATCGTAAAAAATGCCCATGCAGCGAATGTAAAATATAACACGATGGAGATAATATAATAGTAATCAGAAATAAAGACCGTTAGCAAAAATGTTACTCGAATCACCATCATCCACAAAACCTCTGACAGCTCTATAACATGGGCAAAAAGCTTTACGTTAAAAAATTTCAACTCAATAACGCTGCGTTAAGTATRCTTACGCGCATGCGCCAACGAGAGCGCCCACAAGCGCAGATAAGAGGCCGTGTGCGAGATGGTACTCAGCACATACTCTATGGTGTGTATGGATTGCTTTATGTACAGCTCACTCATCGGCTCCTCGTCRGCAACACCGTGACCGGGGTGTCCGTTTGCCACTGGTTTAGGTGCACCAGACGAACCAGCCGAACTAGACGCTGCTGTCGAGTTATTTACCGGCGTATTGTTGACACCGTTAGTGTAGGCAACTTGTAGCTGTGTGGGGGCAAAACAAATGGTTAACTCAAAAACAAAGACTTAAGAGAATATTTCAAAAGACGCACCGCTCTTTGGCTACGCTTATATTTCTCGAGCAATGGATTGCCCAACAACATCCATGGTATGCAAAGCAACGCTATCACAACCAACACCAATTGTAGTGCTTCTTGTCCCGCGAACATGTACTCCTTGCAGCCGTCCTTTGGCGCGGTGTGYCCGAAGAGCATCATATTGATGAACAAGATGAGTATGGATGGCGCACAACCAGGCGTCAGAGCCTGTTCGGTGGCCTTACCGGAATACACTACCCACTTGAAGAACATCATGAATACCAAATAACCGAAAAGCATTAACAAAAACAACAGTTGCGGCAGAAACTCGAGGAAGATGTGTGAGTACTTTTTGAAGTGTACGAAATTGAGGAAAGACATGAAGACGCCAAAGAGCATGTGTATAAGACCGAATATGATGGACAATTTCATTTTGTAGGTATTCAAGAATATTATTTTATTATCAGCTAATGCCCAAATCGGATCCATGCCGTATGGATATACGCCGTCCACGCTATAAAGGGGGTCTAGCGTTAATATAGGATTGTTCCACACAGTTGAGGTATTGTAGTTCACGCGCCARGCAGAGCCGAAAATATTCACAGACTTGGAGAAAACGTCGTTGTATATGAAACCGGTGTAGAGGGAGAACATACCCATAAGCAACATAATGTAGCGTCCAGAAAAAAATAAGTTGAATATTTCACTCTTATTCTGGCTCAGCTTCTGCTCGTTTAGCACCATGTAGAGCGCCGCCAATAGCAGTATAAGACCATGACCCATATCGCCAAACATCACGGCAAACAAAAAGGGGAACGTGATGCAGGTATAGAGTGCCGGATTCACTTCGCGATAGGAGCAGAGCCCATAGGCGTCGATCAAATTCTGAAAACCGCGCGTGAACTTGTTCGTACGATTATATGTAGGCGGCTGTTCATTCGTTTCGATTACATTCAAAAATGATGTGATTGTGCTATCCACTTTCGCTGAACCTTTAGCCAAAGCATCGCGTACGATCGGCAAGTCACAAGTCGGCACCCAGCCTTCGCCAATTAGACACTTATTGCTCACATCCACATTGAGCAGGTTGAGCGTGTGATAGATGGCCTTCATCTTCTTCACCATAATCGTCCAAGCGGGCAGTATCTTCGAAGCAGCAACTAGCACACGATTGCGGTGATCTGCTGTCTGATTGAGCACCAATGTTAAGTCTTGCAGACGCATGCACACGTCCTTAAGAATCTCCTGGCGTTCCAAGTAGGAACTTGGACAGGGATAAACTGAGGTGTGATAGCCAGCGCATACCTTTTTGATGCGCTGCTTCAACTGTTCGCCTTGAAAAAAGGCGATAAAAACCGTTTTCACTGCCGGTTTGTCGGTTTCGGCATCTAAAAGCGGCTCGCTGAGATCGCTACGCTTGAGAAAGACATTACCCATCGAGATGCGCCACAACATGCGTTCGAAGGAGAAGTAACGCTCCAGGTTGATAATGCCGGCAACGAAGCCCAACTGGCCGCGTTGTTGGCCAGGCAGTGGCGGTGCATACTCGGCGGCATCGGAGAAGCGTTGCGCGCTCAAATTGATGACTTCGCTGTCGGTGAAGAAATTATCCGCATTTTCGAGTACATGCTTCAGCTCCAGCATGCCTTGATGGTTGGCATTCAGATTGACCTTGTTGGCGGCAAGTTCACGTATTTCGGTCTCAATCGCCTCCAGTTGCGCTTCCAGGTCAATGATTTCTCGCGGATACGGTGGTCGCGGCTCGTCCAGCACCTCTTGCATTTTGATGTCATCCTTGCGCAGCTCATTTTCGATGTAACGTATTTTACGCTCCAATTCATCGCAGCGTCTGACCTCTGCCACAAATTTACGTTGGAAAGCGCTAACTTGTGCATTCAACTGGAATGTGAAAATGCAACAAAATAAAGTGAAAGCAAACAGTAAATTGGGGGTAAGCAGCAAGGTGTGCATGGTAAATGACGAAAATAAATAAAACAGGAAACATTTTGGTTTGACGTTTCATTCGTGACGGCCGCTTGGCTATTGTGAGTGTGTGTGTTTGTGTCTGTATATACATTGCAGTGAAATAAGGATCTTGATAAAAAGAACACTAGTTTAGTAGTCGAACTTTCGAATACGAAATAGACTAGTTCGAAATATTGCACTTCTACGTGAAATCGGTTCCGGTTTCGTTTCAAGTTTGAGTGATAAAAAATTTCGCTTGATGATCTTCAGTTACTACCTTGCATTCAATTTATTTCACTGCAGTGTAACTATGTACATTATTGTTGCTGTTGTTATTATGTGTGAGACGCACTTACATCACGAAATTGTACACAGCCACTATCGCCTAGTTCGGCCATCGTCGAGTACGCCGCTTCCGGTTGTATAAACATTTGGCACAAGGCCATCGCTTCACTGCGGAACATATCACCCATGTTGACGCTTCACTTGGCATCAAGCGCTAAACATCAATAGCTCCGTATGTCTATCGAATATCCAGCTAACGCAGTTTACACCACGTGTGCGTGAGTGTTTGGTTTGGTCGTACGGCGTTGCCTTCTTGCTGCGTGGTATGTATGAACAGCTGAAACATGAAAGTAAAAAAATTTATTTATGAAGCACACACACGTAACTAACTACATGTGGTGGTATGTTGACACGTGTGTGTGTCGCATACACATTCCATTGGCATTCAAACTATGCAATGGGTGTAAGTATGATGCGCTGTTAAATCTGTTGATAAAACGCTAAAACGCGCAACTACAAAAGCGACAGAGATTATTTCGTTGTATTTAAGTGTATGTAGTTATGTTTGCTTTTGTATGTACTGTTATGTACGATTATGCATTCTACTGTTAGGCTTCGTTTAGTCTTGCTTATGTTGGTAGTAATATGTGCCACTGATATCGCTTGTTTCTTATCAAGCGTCATTTCTGGCCTTAATCGCCTTGTTATCAAATAAAAGTGGTTATAGTTATTGTTTGGTGATTTGTTAGAGTTTTTGATATTAGCATTGTTTATGTTTTTGACTCGAATGTGGTCGCATATATGTGYAAATATTTATAACCCAGCAAGTGAATTAGCTTGCTATAAGGCGACGCCACTAGAATCCACCCCATATATTTAGTGGAAAATTATTATTTAAATAAARCACTTAGAGAGAATTTTCTTACATAAAATGTAGTTTAAGGGGCTATTTTCGGACTTCATGGAAGACAGTGCAATCTTTCGTACAATAGCTTTATAGTAAGCATCAGCAACGGTGGAAATGCGAACGTGCCAAAGTCGTTGCATCTAACGCAAATATCAAAAACCAAAGCATACAATCATTTTGAATAATTGAAAAATTAAGTCGAATGGGGTAATCGACACTCTAGAGATTTTAATCGAATATAATGAACATGATTTTTTTTTATGCCCGAAAGCTCTCAACAAATTATATGCACAAGTTAGTTTCTCGAAACCCCCCAAGTTCAAAGTTGAATAAGCAGTCTCTATGGGCTAACATGGGTTTACGGGCTTGAAGAAATCGAATTTTTGTATTGTTTTATTAAAATTTACAACATCTCCAGAATATTGTCMTAAAGCAAGATTTCTAGAGACTTACTCAACCGATCTTCATGAAATTTTACACAGGTTTTTGAGATAAAATTCTTAAAGGCTTCGATGACGGATTTTTTTCGATTACAGTTATTTGAAAAATAATATCGCGAAATTTTCATTTTTTTGTAAAAATATCTGCCAAGAATCCAATTTTATATTTTTTCTTCCGTTGAAATCCTAACTCGTAAAAAATATTAATTTTTGGAGAATAGAGCATCAGGCCACAAATCATGAACATAGTWGAAAAATTACAAGAAACGGGTTTTAAATTACTTCTTTAACCCCTAATTTTTACAATTTTCCCACAAGCGATTTGTTTCTATACCTAAACTTTAAGCGAACCTTCGCTGGCAAGAAACCCTACGAGACCAGCAAGTGAACTCAAAGATTGAGGTTTATGTGAACTAGTCCCTCAGTTTTTGAGTGACGTTTGAAATTTTGTGCACCTTTATTTACAAAGAATTTTTTTTTTGTTTTTTTTTTTTTTAGGAAAGGTCGATGTAGTATCACTTTAACAAATAGCTGCCATACACACTGAAGGATCGAAATCAAACACTTCAATAGGAAAWTTTTTTATTTGACAAGGTTTCTCGCAAAATTTTACACAGATTATTACTCTAGGCAACGCCATAACCTTCAAAAAATTTTTTARATCGGATCACTATAGCATATAGCCGCCATACAAACTAAACGATCGAAATAAGGTGTTTGTATGGAACATTTTTTCATTTGATGRGATATCTTAATGAAATTTTGCATGTGTTATTGCTTGAAGCATTTCAGCAATCTTCGAAGAAATAGCTAAGATTGGATTCCTATAGCACATAGCTGTCATATAAATTTAGCGATCGGATTAAAATGCTTATATGAAAARGCTTTTTTATTTGACGAGATATCTTCACCAAATTTCACATGAATTATTAGGCGRCGACGCAATCTCCAAAGAAATTACTCATCTCCCTACACTATAGCTTACAGCTGCTATRTAAACTGCACGATCGGAATCAAGTGCTTGTATGAAAACTTTTTTCATTTAAGGAAATATTTTCACGAAATTTTGTTTGAACTATTAGCCAAGGCACTGCTACAATCTTTGTATATATGGTTTAGATCGTGCCACTATAGCAATTGACCGATTAAAATCAAGATAAGAGCCTTTTTCATAGCCGTGAATGCGGTTAAAGCATCGTTGCCACGGCCGCTATTTGGCAAAATTAAAAAAAAAAAAAAAAAAAAAAAAAAATAAAAAAAAAATCAAAAAAAAAAAAAAAAAAAAAAAAAAAAAAAAAGCTTCTGTAGCACAAAGAAAAAAAAAATGCATTTTGTATTCGTTATGAATATATTTATTTATAAAAACCCGGACCGATTAATTTAAATCGCGAAAATCARTGATAATTCGGAGTGTCACACTGAGATGATATTTCTATACGGCTAATACAGCATTATGTAACATACCTTTTTTGGCTGGGTTATTTTATATTTTTGCTGGTTATTCTATTCTAAATTTTTTTTTTAAATATTTTGGTTTTTTAAATATTTGGTACAAATATGAGCAACGAACTCCCAGAAAATAAATATTTTCGCTTAGCAATGTTGTACTCTCCGCCTGGCGTAGAAATTGAATACTAGTGCTCGAATAATGTTTCGACAATTATATATAAGAATGCGCACCACCAGCCAAATTCACTCAGTAATACTTTAATTAATTTAAAATGTAAATTTCCCACAAATTGGTATAAAACCAAGCATATGACGGCGATARTTCGCGGATTTTCCAAGCATATAATAGATCATATTCCTTTGTATATGTCGATATCGATATGTCGATATCTATATATCTATATCTATATTCATTTCTACATATCTATATCGAACGATATTTCCACCAGCCAAGTAATTCACATGTCAATATACTCATTTACTTATCAGTTATCAGTATTTGCGATTTCTCCATTTGGCATCACGTGCCAAACGCCAGCGTCTGTTGTAAATGCAAAGAATGATTGTTTTGTCAGAAAGCGTATGTTTTGCGAAATATTTTGTCATCAAATTGCAAACACGCTATACATAAATGTAATTATGACGCGTTATAATTACGTTAATTGCCATATCAACAAGTTAGCAGGCTATTAAAGATCAAATTGCTTTTAATTATTTATTTTTACGTTTATCGCTTGTTTAGAAGGAAAACACACATGAAAAATATAAAAATTATATAGATCAATAAACGTGTCTATGTCAATCAGCTGACTGACAGGTGTGGCGCCGATGTCATAAAGTGAATGGCAGCCAGGATGGGAAACACCGTGCGTATACGTGACTTTAATTTATTCCTTTTTTTATTGGRTTTGCATATTAAGCAGGCAAACAGTAGCGGTGGCGTGAGAGTTTACAAATTATGCCACGCATGTAATTACAAATTARTACACTCATTTAGAACAACAAAAACACAAATTAGGAAAAAACTCTTGCAAGTATTCAATTAAGCATTTTCTATGCTAATTCCACGCATCCACTTCGTACCTAATTAGTTTGGCGTTTTTTYGCGAGAGTTACGCACTTCACGATTCGTTAATTGGAAATTAGCAATTAGCAGTTATTTTACCGTTAGCACGGCTAAACAAATGTACTGCCCGCGTTGGAGTTGCAGGTACTTCTGCCTCAACTAACTGTGTTTAATTTAAGTCAAATTGGTCAATTGGTGAGCGTAGTCAAGTTTCAGTCAGTCATGGCTAATAGGTGCGCTAATCTCAAGTGCCATAAATCTTAATATAATAARTATATTGCAGTGCAATAATTGGCAATACGCCGATAATGGTAACGTCCATTTCCATTCATTATTTAAGGGGAAATTTGCGCGCCTCACTCTTTCTTCGCAAACACACAAATGTCTAGCATAGCTCTCTGCTGATTGATAATTTAACTAAGTTTGTATTTATCACTGTCTTATTCAGAAATTTTGTAATGAGTTCTCACTCTCACTCATTCAAGTGTCACAKTTATATCTTAAGTGGCACATATGGCGTCTAACGGATGTAGAAATATGAATGACTGAAATGCTTAGGTAGCTAGTCATCATGTACTCACAYGTACTAGTAGTCACAAGTCGTAACAGTAAAAACTCGTGCCTTTTTGTTTACAGCAATAAACTTAATTGGATCATGTGAGAGACATGAAGAGTGTTTTTTTAATMGAAATCAATTTGAAGTGAACATTAAGTTTGAATATAATAAAYATGGAGGTTCAATAAAATCGTTATCAAAAGAAGTGGCACCCATGGAGATCGATATTAGTCTTAAGTGGTTGTAGACAAAAATTGAACCGGGTGGAGATAACCGAGATAATAACRGAAAAGTGAAAATATTATGTATTAATGAAGTTTCCAACCATGTTTTCTCCCTTGGAATATTATTTGAACAGTAAAGTTTCAAACCATATTTTCTCTCATGTTGCTTGAAATAAAATTCAAACAGTAAAGTTTCAAACCATGTTTTCTCTCATGTTGTTCGAAATAATATCTCAACAGTGAAGTTTCAAACCACGTTACTTAGTTAGGTTATTTTTCTCTCAGACTARTATTTATGGAAAACTAATTTTCATTGTGTCGTTTTTTATGTAGCGGATACTTGGTCTAAGAACGGGAGTCATGAGCTGCTTGAGCCAGAAGTAAAAGAAAAAAAGAATCGTTTCTGGCCACTCATAAGTGAATGGCGGTCAGACGACTTGTATGTGAATTTTTACACATGACTCCATTAATTGGCTATTCGTGACATATTCCGAGAACTTCTTAAAAATTGCATACRAATTTGAAAAAATTATTGTGCGGTAAGAGACATGACAACTTAAATGCGATATTGATGATTTAAAAAGTTGATCGGTGAGCAAGACCGAAGGCGTACTTGATATACATATGGCAACTCTTTAACAAAAAAAAAAAAAAAAAAAAAAAAAAAAAAAAAAAAAAAAAAAAAAAAAACAAAAAAAAAAAAAAAAATGATATTAGTTGTTTGAAACACTCTAATCGACGTTTCTAAGATAGCTTGAGAAAAGTATAGTAGCTACGATTTTGTTTTCTTCTATATAATCGGAAGTCTGTTACTATCGAGGCAGCAGGTGCTGATCCTGCCATAGAACATTAGACCAGAAGCCTTTTGATCTTTACATAAAAGATACATAAAAGAATAAAAGCACAGTGGAATGAATGACGAAGGAAGTCTGTAGAAGCGCTTGGGCTAACTTTGTTTCTACGGACATAAGTGGTGAATAAACCGTTAAAAAACTTGGACGGCAAAGCTTCAAAGATAATGACGTACGCAGACCACATTGCTATATTAAGAGCGAGAAAGTATCTACCCACTATTAGCAGTATTATAGTATTATGACCACCACTCTCAATATAGTTCCGAATAGGGCTCTGCAAGTTGGTCTGGGGTTGAACACGGAGTGAGGTTGATAGTGAAACGGATTTCCAAGAGTGGTGTGTGGCTGTCATCTAATAGCGTGACCGATATTGAAAAACTCATGCATTCTTGTTAAKGCGATCTCAACAAGAACACGGCAGGGAAGGTTAAAGTTCTATAGAATCTATCAGTATGCAAAATTGCAAAAGCCATGTGCAAAATATAAAAAATTCTTACAAAAAATTTATACAAATGACACGTATTTACACTGTTTGTTATATTAAAAAATAATTGCATACGTATTGGTTTACCTAAAAATATGGAGCTGTGAGCGCAAACAGCAGGCGTCAGCATTTTTTGCGCAAATGTGGTAAAGAGAATGATTGAAAGCGAATATATAGTATATGAGAATGAATGCATGTGTGTATGAGTTCGAGTTCTCGTAAACTGAAATAGAAATAAATGATTTTAAATTAATTTAAAACTTAAATTACGGTGTTGGATGTTCTACGAATTTAAAGTCACAAATTTCGCTTTTATTACTCAAGTTCGTACGGTTTCTGTTAGAAATTTTTTTTTATATTTTTGGTTAAAATTTCAAATATCACAAACTAATTAACAGCTATATGTCTATTTTTTTATTTCTCATTAAAATCTTTCGAAAGAAGCCGGTTAACAAACGCGTCCGCTTAGAATATAACGCAATTTTGAATACTATCTACCGATTTGAGATTACAATAAAATACTSAAATCAACAATAAATGTTATATATAACATCTTAAAACATATAGCACCACTTTTATGTAGCAAACTTCTGTCCTCAAAGGCTCAAAATTATAATATAATTTCCTTAGATGCCGCTTACCCGAAGCGCCGTGCTTCCGCTTGGCTTTATATCACATATGGATGCGAATAATAAACGCGAAATCTAAGCGCTTTTCTTATTTTAAAACTTTTATCTTAATTGCAATACAAGCAAACGTTCRCTATTAGCAACAGGTCCTTCGACGTTTCAGCCAATAATCTTTGACAGCGAGCTGCAATTTAAAATTACGAGCACACATTTTCGCTTGCGCTTCGACGCTTTATTGGCTCAGCGCGCTGAGTGTTTGCGGCGCGCAATTTAAAATCATTGAGACATAAGCGCCATTTACAGATCAAATATCAAAGGCA